TGGAGATTGTTGGACATTGGAGAAACCTTCTTGACAATTTCCACCGCATGCATACTAAAACTACATCCAAAAATCTGTTCTGTTTTTTTATTTTATCTGCCTATGGGCTATGTTCTTCATATTCAGCTTTTAATATTTTCATGTGTTGGTGTTAACAGCTTGCTTTTGTACATTTTATATTGCAAAATTTGATATATAGAGTGGGCAAATTAAGTTTCAAGCATTATCTTAAAACATCTCCTGTACGTACTAGGAAGCAGTAAAATGTTATGCATCATACAACTCGTTGTTTGTGTTTAAATACACCCAAGCCAACATCTAACAGGCTCAACGCGTGTCGCAGGTTAATTTGCGAACTGGAATTTACCTGATATGCTTTAGGACCGAATATGACTAATTACTTTCATGAGTTAACCATAGGTTTAGGCGAAGCCACTGCCGCATTTCTACCCATGTTTGCTTACGCATACGTTTACGTTTCTACATTGATGTATTTACGCTCCAAACTTGGAGGGGAGGAAGTTGAAACACATTTTCCATAAAAGTCATTATAGCTCATAATATAGTCTTATGAAATCACATTCACTCCATTTAGCCACTTATTTGAAGGAGGTTTGAATTTTAGTAGTTGTAGAAGTTGAACAAAACAGTTTTATTAAGTTAAAATTATTAGGGGGGTTGACAAACTGAAATATTTCAGTTGATCCAATTGTGAAAAATTCGTAGCCACTGTGGGATTCGAACACATATAGTAGGGAAGGCTTTTGTACAACCAACGCTCTACCATTGAGCTACGAATGCACGCCGAAGGCACGTCCACCGAGACCACGGAATTTTCACACTTGGACCAACTGAATTATTTAAAGTTGCCAACCCCTCCCTCTGATAATTAAGGGGGCTCTGGGGGATTCTAGATGATTGTTTAGGAAATCCTGCCTGAGTAGTCAGCTTACTGTATATGTAATTGTGGATTCAATGTGAGCAGTAGGTTGGGCGGGTAAATCGACCCAAGTGCGATTAAATGCAAAGCTTCGACGTGCCTTCGTAGCTCAGTTGTAGAGTCTTGACTGTACAAAAGCCTTCCTTGCTGTGTGGGCTCGAATCCCACCGGGGCCACGAATTTTTCACAATTGAGTCAATTGTAATTTCAAATTCCCTCAATCACGTACTGGATACAACCCTGTTTTAAGGTGCGCTTCCCATCACCTTCAACTCAAATATAACGTTCTGCAAGGCTTTCTTGAAACATATAGACTGCGGTGGTTGAAATGCCGGTGAACTATTTCCTTGTAGCAGTTCCACTATAGCGTAGCTTTGCAAGCATAAAATATCCCTGCTTACTACGGAAGCTTATACCATCCTCTTTAAATGTCCCCTAAGCAGATAAATACGTTTAAAGAAAAACTGGGTAAAGGGAAGTGTTAATTTCTGTTGCCAACAGAGCCGTGCCTCAGTACTTGAAAATGTCACTTACGGGTTCAAATCCCACGGTTTCTTATGTCCACGTTTAAGCTATTGCTTACTAGCGATTACAGAAGTGACTATCCTAATCTATCGGTATGCATTCCACATAGTTAACTGTATGTGAGACCCTTAGATTGCAGAACTGACCTTTATTCGCTGTTCATTTCCATTGTCTCAATTTGACTAGACCAGTCTTTCGCAAAAGACCTTGGCAATTATCTAGAACTATTCCTCATTTTTCATCTGTAGGCAAGCCGTGAACAGGACCAGCACGAGATTTACCGCCTGCAGAGAGAACGCGATCGTTTTCGGCGTGAACTTGCCCACCAAGCTGCTCGTTACGAGGACCGAATCACGGAGCTGCATAGCGTGCTCGCCGAGTTAAAACGGAAAATGGAACGACCAAATGCTGTTGTCGATGTTGGTATGGCAGTGCAGGATTTAGTTGAAGTTAGTGACGACGACGACGTTGGGGACGTCGATCACGAGGATGTGGAGGATGATGTTAACGACGATCAGGTCGACGGCGGAAACACAGGCAAGCAAGATCAGCAGAAAGAACAGAACGCCTCACGAAATCATCTCCCCCTTCTGTCTGACTGGGAGAACAATGGGGTGGCTGCTGCCGTGGACAGCTTTGGCAGCCTAGTGGAGTTTTCCTACTCTACTCTCATCGCAAATGGTGCCAACATGGCTGGTGGTCTGATCCACTCAGAGCCAGAGGATCTGATGACTTCGCACAATTCCATCGCCTCGGGCAATGCATCCCTTGAGGCCCAGAGTTGCCTTGCGCAATCTTCCATTATTGACGGGAACGATCACGCCACGAAAAGCCTTCATAACTGGGTACGTTGTTTTCTGCATTTCAGTTCTGTGTGTCCTTCCTCGTGGATTAATTTAGGACGTGTATAACAGGGTCGAAGAACAGCCATGAAAATGCGAGTTGTATCGCCAAAGAAGAGAGCCCGCCATAGGGTCTACTGTTTGGTCCGCTTTTGGACGAAGGCATTGACGAACACCTAGGGGAGTGGTTGGCCGTTGTAAGGTCTCTCACTTGTCCTTGGGAGAAAACGAGGTGACCCCAAGCGGCTAGGCCAAGAACACTGCAACCTCAACTCGTTTTTCTACGTTTTCCACAGTCTCTGGGGCTGGTCTCATTTTCATGAGTCAGCATGCTCAGGGGAACGACCCCTCTCCGTCTGTCCCTTATGAAAATTTTTCAAATTTCAGCTTTACTCCAGACTTTTTGTCTCCGAGCACAATGAAATCAGTGAGTTCTTGCATTCAGTTGTCGTCACCTGGCAACGTTTCGTGGTGAAGATATTTGGTCACCGTCAGTGCGTGCGTGTGAGTCACCGCATCGTGCGCCCAGACTCCGCGATCGGCAATTATTGTGGAGCCTCGGAAGCTGACAAGAAAATGTGCGTTTGCGCTTGTTTGTGCGAGGCTGTGTTTA